CCTCCTTCTGTTACTTCCCCCTACTTCTGTTACTCCCCCCTTCTTCTGTTATCCCCCCACTAATTGGAAATTATAACCCTGTATGTTATGTTTTTGCAAGTATTTATCCAATTGCTGGATACAGAGAGTGCAACACAGAAATCAACCAAAAACACACATCACATCACAGAGGAAACTAATTCTGTCCAAAGAGCTCCCAGATTGGATGTGGCTAGCCCGAATTAGATGGAAGTCTAAAGTTCAGCGAGACGCGACTAACCTCCGATCTGGTGCAGGGTTCTAGACTGCTGGATAGAGTTCCCGGGTCACTTAAAAACACAGCGATTTCTGTGGGTACATGGAGCTCCCTCAAGTTCTTGATGTCATTCGATGCCTCACCACCCTCTCTGTTAACCCCCCAAAATGCGCTGGGCTGGGAAGCACGGGCTGGAGGCTTAGTCTTTAATGATGATAGTCTTTTCAGAGAGAGGTGGGGGTTTGAGGAGCCATGTACCCGGGTAAATGGCCAGAGGGTCCATCACACTAACTTCCTCCCATACTGCCGATAAGCAAGGGGCTCGGTTGCGCTCTTGAAAGGCCACAATATCCTACCAGGACCCTGCTGTCACATGCCCATCGGGAGGCCCTGATTGCTTAGGCCACCTGATGTAGCCCCTTAGTTTGAGGCTTTTGCTTAACGGCCCCTGGAAATCCTTTGGGGCTGTATGTTGTGCAGGTCTGCCACAAAATCAACATCCTGCCATGTCCTTCACAGTCCCCTGACTTGAACTCCATAGAAAACCCGTGGGATGAACTGAAAAGGAGAATCCACCCAAGTCAACTTTAAAACTTGAAAGATTCTGTATGGTAGAATGGTCTCAGATCCCTAGCTTTGTATTCTCCAAACTCATAAGGTATTATAGGAGAGGATTCAGAGCTGTTATCTTGGCAACGGGAGGTAGCACCATGTATTGACTAATACTAATAATTGTTCCACAAATATTTAACAATATTTAATAAATATAATATATATAACATTTTGATTTTTATATATGTATATTTATAATATTTAGTTTTTTTGTTTTTGTTTTTATAAACCTGTGCTGTTTGCAATTGTTTGATACCCATGAGAGCAGAGCATTTTGTATTTGTGTATTTTGTTAACAAAAGATCAAACAATAAAGACAATTTCTCAGACTTCTTTGCTCATATTTACCAATATTTCTGTGTCCTGATATACACTACTGGAATTGTCCTGTCTTTGTATTGTTCTGTTGCATGTCTTATTGAGGTCCATCATCTTAAAGTACAATGAAGCATACATCTGATATTTTTAATTTATTTTCATCAGTAAAAGCATGTGTGTGTGCTGTTTGTTATTGATTGTCTTTGCACCACCACATTTTATTTATTTCTTCAAGCTGCAGGCATACAGAGAAGAACAGAGAGGTAGTGATATCCTTACGTGTCTGCCGGGCTGTCTATCCCTCCTAATTCAGGCTGTTCGGTTTCCAGCAGTCCAGCTCACTCGGTGCTGACAATAGTACGCATACACTGATAGTGAAATCATTTTTTGGAATAAAGAGCATTATTAAGGCTTCTGGTGATGCATTTCACAATTTTTATGTATTCATTTAATTTTTGCAAATTGCAATATTTGAGCATGCAATCAATACAGCACATTAATAAGACAAAAATCTAATTCATTAAACTTGTGTTGGTATCTGGATAGTTCCTTTAATACAGAACCACATTCGGTTTTATATTTGTCTTGTTTTTTACTAAAAATCTGATTTTTGTTGAAAGCTGTACTTCAATTTATCTGAGTTTGCAAAGAGTTTGCAAAAAGCTTTCCAGTCAACCTAAAACTGACCCTGCCTGTAAGGATTTCTTGTTTAACCTATGATATACTTGTCCAATCATTTCGTTATGATTTATCTCAATGCTAAATCAATACAAAGGTTACCAATATGATCCCAAGATACACAGAGACTACACATTCAATTTTCTGCTAGATAGAAAGGAATGCTCAAACAGAGATTGTTATAGATTAAATCCCTAGTGAGACACTCCTCAGAGATCACGGGAGCCCAAATTAGGTTGCATGACTACTCAGCTGGGTCACACACAGAACAATCTGAATTTCTTTCAATATCCCTAGTATTAAATGTATAAGAATGTTAACTGTCCTTAAACACTCTGTAGAATTATGATTGGCTTATTTTTTTTTATTTTTTTCAGACGATCCAGAAGTAGGTGAGGGATGAGAAACCCTGAATTTTCTTGTATATTTAGTTTTTTGCTTCAAAGACAAGTTTTAGTCCAAAATGGCAAAGGCATTTGACACAGAAGATGTTTATGAAATGGAATTCCCATGATGCTCAGCAAGCTCTTAGGCTCACTCAGCATCATGGGAAAAGAAAGATCTTAAGCCTGCGGTGCCAAGTTAGCCACCATTATATTTTCCGTTTACACAGAAACAAATTCCCTTAATTAATTAATGGGCAAAAGATGTGTATGACGTCTATGAAAATAACTACTAAAGAGTGTTCTAAATGAGGCAAATGAGCATTGATTATAGAACATATACTTATATTTTTTAAATGTAAATTAAGTCTTACTGAAACAATGAGTGGTTATTACCGTTTCTTGATTTTTATGAAACATCTCATTACAGTGTATAATTGGTGTAAAGATAATTAACACATTAGATGCTCCCTGGTAATGACCATGCAGATTAGTTCACTAGCTAATGAAATGGAAACTAGTGAAATTAATATATAGCTGGATCTATAATCACTAGCTCAACTCCCAGCAGATTGCTTAAAGTGTAGTGATGTCCCGAACGGTTCGCCACGGACGGCGAACATATGACCCTGTACCTCACAGTCAGCAGACACATTCCAGCCAATCAGCAGCAGACCCTCCCTCCTAGGCCCTCCCACCTCCTGGACAGCATCCATTTTGAAGCTGCATTCTTAGTGAGCTGTCCAGGAGGTGGGAGGGTCTGGGAGGGAGGGTCTGCTGCTGATTGGCTGGAATGTGTCTGCTGACTGTGAGGTACAGGGTCATATGTTCGCCGTCCGTGGCGAACCGTTCGGCGAACCGTTTGGGACATCACTATTAAAGTGGAATTTTCATAATAAACTGTCTTTCTATAAATCGGTTTAAAGCAAGTACCATAACCACTACAGTTCTCATTTTGGAAGATGGTGCAGAGTGGCCCAGAGTGAAGTCAAAACGTTACGAATTAATTTGACTCATTGCAGTGGAGGGGGTTTCATGGCCCTCCTGACACATTCCGCACTACAATGTGTTGTAGTGGTTATAGTGCTTGAAGTGTTCCTTCCTACAAAAATATAAATAAGTTAAAGTCATGCTCATTTTACCATGGTATAGTAAGTCTAGCGGGATTAATCAGACATAAGTTAGTGTTTCGCTGTGGTGGTCACTGTCTCAGAATGTCATTGCAAGTCTCAAACCCTATGTAAGACTTATAGCATCTTATACAATGAATAAGATTTGGTAGATCTATTTTTTCAGTGTAGAATAAAAGTAATTTGATTCGTACGAACCTTTGGCACTCCAGATGTTGTGAACTACATCCCCCATAGTGTTCTTACACCCATAATGCTGACAAAGCATCATTTGAGGTGTAGTGCAAAACATCTGCCGAAGTGCAGAAGGTTGCCTATGCCTGAACTAGGTCAAGCAAAATTTTTGCCTAAGTCTAATCAGTATATCTTTAAGAACCTGAAATGTGCTCTACTTTTGTTGAACTGTTTAACTTGGCTCTTAGTCCAACTTAGGAAGACACCTGGAAAATTAAACAGGTTTAAGAAATTTGTAAATATCACATGTATTAATAGTATTTATTAAAATTTTTATGCTGCCAACATAGTCCACGGTGCTTTACAATAAATTGGGATATAAACGCGTATTAACATACAAAGTGTTGACAGAGACAGGAGATAAAGAGGGCCCTGCTCAAATGAGCTCACAATCTAAGATTTAGTTCTGTATTTAATATTGAATGCTCATCAGAGGCGGCTGTAGACTTTATGAGGCCTTAGGCGAAACTCAAACATGAGGCCCCACTAATAAAAAAGTATATACACATTACTTTGTATCTGCCTGAGAGTGTGTCTGACAGAGAGTATGCGTGTGTGTGTGAATGTATGTCTCTGTGAGCATGTTTGCGTTTTTGTCTGGGACCCTATGTGTATCGGGTAGCTGCTTGAAGTGTGCTGTGTGTATGGGGGTCTGCCTGTAGCCTTTGTGCATTATGTTTATGGCAAAGCTATGTTTCTTGACTATATGTGTATGATGAATGTCTTCAGGTGGTGACTGTGACAAGGTGAGTAAAGGGGTACCAGTGGCAGGGAGAGCATGACAGGGCGAAGGGGGTAAATGGACAGGGGGGTTGTGAGAGAGAATGAGTGATAGGAAGGATGATGTGGTTTGATGAGGGAGTGTGACAGGGCTAGTGGAGGTGTGTCAGGGCAATTGTGGCATGGTAGGAGGGACGAGTGTGACAGGATTAAGGGGTGAGACAGGGTGAGTGTGGCAGAGTGAGGGCAGGTGAGTTTGGAGGGGGTGAGATTAACAGGATTAGGAGTGGTTAATGTGACTGTGGATGCATGAAGAGGCTGACAGTGTGGGGAGGTGACAGTGTGAGGGGATGCTAACAGTGTGTCTGGGGAGGCTGTGTGTATGAGGGGGTGATGGTGAGAGGGAGAGAGAGGGGGTGATGGGAGGGAGATGGGAGGGAGAGAGGTGATGAGGAGGGAGAGGGAGGTGCTGGTGACAGGGGAGAGGGGTGATGGTGACAGGAAAAGAGGGTGATGGTGACAGGAAAGGGGGTGATGGTGTGAGGGAGGGTGATGGTGATAGGAAAAGGGGGGTGATGGTGACAGGAAAAGGGGGGTGATGGTGTGAGGTGGGGTGATGGTGTGAGGGAGGGGGTGATGGTGACAGGGAGAGGGGGGTGATGGTGACAGGGAGAGGGGTTGACGCTGTGGGGGTCACTGACCGAAGACCCGACACAGTCTTCCCTCAGGCAGTTTAGGCGGCTGCGAGTCCCCAGCCAGCGCGAGGCCTTAGGCGGCCGCCTAAGCCACCTAATTAGAGAGCCACCTCTGATGCTCACATAAACCCCTATATGAGTGCATCACTACGGATAGTCACAGCATATGAAAACATAATCAAACCAGTTTCTTTATAAAAACGAGGGATTCTATTGAGACATTTATTTGAGCCTATGTTACCTATATCTACTTTTTGTGGCATTTTACTGATTATTACCACTCTTCTACATGCTATTGTACTATACCTGAAATGTAACTACTGATGTCTTTCTCAATTTGAGGGACCTTTACTACCTTTTGTACCGACCGGTGATAATAAAGCTCCCTTAAAGCTCCAGTATACAGCATGGGAGAGGTATTACCCCTACATGACACCCGAATCAGCTCACCTAAAGGAGTCTCCTTACACACTCCAATCCCCACTGTTTTGAGCTGAACCTTAATTCACGACCAACTCAAGTACGCAACAAACGTACATATGATCAGCACCAAATCTAACCATTCGATCCCAGTGCTACCCCATGGAGGAGCACTCCATACCACTCAATCAGGCCTCTAGACCTCACATTAATTAAACTGAAATATCCTATGTTAAGTTTATTGTTCTCATGATATAATATAAAAATGTGCTGTCAATCTGCATACCATATCGAATTTCATACTGATTGTTATTCCTGAAATGGTCAATGTTGAACTGGCATTGTATGCTCATGCATTATTCTTTGCAGAAAAATAAAGAAAATAATTTTTTTTTTTTACAAATTTAAGGGATCTGCGATTCTCGAATATAATGAATACAACATGTTGGGACCTGCGGGTCCCCGATGTTAACCCCTACCCACACCTATTGGAAACTTTTAATAAATAGATATTCACCAAAACCATTCTGTTTGAGAATCCATAGGTTTATAAAAGAAGATGCTGTGACGTTCTTCTTTACCAAAACAGCATTACAAGATCGCCACCTAGTGTTTAAACTACTTTTTCTTAATCGTAACCATCTAAAATTATATATATTTATAACCAACCTCATGCTGAAGAGTTGCATTAACAACGAAACAGCTGTCCATGAGTGGTTCACTGGTTTTGCATTTTATCCTAAATTGTGTTCCAAGCAGTTGTATACTGCAAACACAAATTAAAAGGAATCCATGTTTAAAATGGAATGAGGCAAAAATGTGATTCTTTGTTAAACTAATTTGCATATGCCCGCCCAGAATCCTTTGCGGTTGTAACATCACTGCTGATTTGGGATTTCTGTGGGAAAAGCAAGTCTTATGGCTTGACTGGTGTGCAGATTTTTGTTTAGCATTGTATTAACTATCCACAAACTTCAGGTGGACGGGGTTTTCAATCACAATTTTTCCCCACCATAACCTATTTGAATTTTGCTTCCCAAGCACTACCAAGCCTCACTAAGCAAACCAGTAACCAACCTCATGCTGAAGAGTTGCATTAACAACGAAACAGTTGTCCATGAGTGGTTCACTGGTTTTGCATTTTATCCTAAATTGTGTTCCAAGCAGTTGTATACTGCAAACACAAATTAAAAGGAATCCATGTTTAAAATGGAATGAGGCAAAAATGTGATTCTTTGTTAAACTAATTTGCATATGCCCACCCAGAATCCTTTGCGGTTGTAACATCACTGCTGATTTGGGATTTCTGTGGGAAAAGCAAGTCTTATGGCTTGACTGGTGTGCAGATTTTTGTTTAGCATTGTATTAACTATATATATATATATATATAAGCAAACCAGTAACCAATCTCATGCTGAAGAGTTGCATTGACAACGAAACAGCTGTCCATGAGTTGTTCACTGGTTTTGCATCTTTTCCTAAATTGTGTTCCAAGCAGTTGTATACTGCAAACACAGATTAAAAGGAATCCATGTTAAAAATGGAATGAGGCAAAAATGTGATTCTTTGTTAAACTAATTTACATATGCCCACCCAGAATCCTTTGCGGTTGTAACATCACTGCAGATTTGGGATTTCTGTGGGAAAAGCAAATCTTATGGCTTGACTGGTGTGCAGATTTTTGTTTAACATTGTATTAACTCTATATATTGTAACAGAGTGTTGGGGATGGTGGTCAGGGGTGTATATCTGGCACCCAGACTTTTGCACAGCCACTATCCTGACATGTGGGTAAGCACATGCAGCCCCAGGGAAAGTTAAGTTTAAATTTAGTTTTTTTTTCCTCTTGTTATTTGGGTCCCTGGGGTGGAGTATTCGGAAGAGCAGTGTGGGCCGATTCTCCACCCACTGTCAGAGTGGTTGTGCATGAGTCCAGCCCAGGTTTCCCATAGAGTTCTGGCTCACTGCCTAACGAGGTCATTAGCCTCACCTGTAGGGGCTGTGAGCAGCTATATAACTGCAGTTAAAGCAGGGTGAAGTGAGGGAAGTGTTTTGGAGGAGAAAGAAGGTGTTTGTGGAGAAAGAAGATTTGCTGTTCATTGTATCCTGTTACTTCACAACAACAGAAAATAAACAGGCCAGAGGCCTTTTTGAAACTGGACTTTGTCTTGACCTGGTTTTCTTACCCTAGAGGGCTGTGCGGTTGCCAAAAGATCCTGGACAAACACACACAGGAAAGTAAGTTTGTCACATATGGTGGAGAATGCGGGCACTGCACTAAAGAAGCCTGTGGGTATTAACTGGAAGCCAAACAAGCCTGTAGAAATATGGAGGAAGTTGTGAAAGTCTTGTTGCAAACTACAGCTGCACAGCAAAAGGCTACAGCCGTACAGCAGGAGGCTACAGCCGCACAACAGGAAAATATTACAGCCCTACAGCAACTGGTAATTACGCAAAAGGTCAACACAGATGCGTTGATCCAGCAGGTTATGGCAGCCCAAGCTGAGGCAAACCGCCTGCTCAGAGAGGAGCAACATCAGGCCACCAGTATGATACAGAAGGAGATACAGGCTTTGACCAAAGGACTGACCAGAGTCTCGGAT